AGTGCTTTGGGATACTTAGTCCCTAAAGCGGAAGTTTAAGTCTTAGAATTTTTTACTGTAGTCGTAATTGTGTGAAAACGACTCCGGAATGGAGTTACGTCGATTCCGGTAGCTCTGTTTGGGTGATTTTGGACTTAGGAGCATGTACGGGCTGCGAATTTGAGGTCTGTAGCTAATTTAGGCTTAAAATGGCGAAAGTCAATTTTTTGGAAAGTTTGACCGGGGGGTTGACTTTTTGATATTGGGGTCGGATTCCGATTTCGGAAGTTGGAGTAGGTCCGTAATGTTGGATATGACTTGTGTGCAAAATTTGAGGTCAATCGGACGTGGTTTGATAGGTTTTAGCGTCGTTTGTGGAATTTGAAAGTTTAAAAGTTCTTTAGGCTTGAATCCGGGTGTAATCTGTGTTTTGATGTTATTTTGGGTGATTTGAAGGTTCGACTAAGTTCGCATTGGGTTATATGACTAGTTGGTACGTTTGGTTGAGGTACTGGGGGCCTCGGGTTGATTTCGGTTGGTTAACGGACTTGATTTTTGAGTTGATGAAACAACTGAAGTGATGTTGCTACTGGTGTGACCACACTTGCGGAGTGGGCACCGCAGGTGCGAGCCCGCAGAAGCAGGGAAGGAACCGCAGAAGCGGCCAAAGATGAGTTGAGCAGAGGTCGCAGGTGCGAAGATTTTCCCGCACCTGCGATGGTCGCAAAAGCGGGCAGCTGGGCGCAGGTGCGATGGGCTTCCGCACCTACGATAGGCGCAGATGTGGTCTTGTAGCCGCAGTAGCGGAATCTAGGATTTCAAGTGGAATCCGAACCTGTGATGAATTTTTCGCAGGTGCGGCGTCGCATATGCGACAGTGGGTCTGTAGATGCGAAAAATGTGGGCAGAAGGTTTAAAAGCAAGGGTTCGCGATTTTAGTCTTATTTCACTATTTGAGACTCAGACTTAGGCGATTTTGGAGAAGATTTTCGAGGGAATTATTGAGGTAAGCTTCTTGTACTCATTTTTTAATCATAAATCTTGATTCTCCACTGATTTTCTTACCTAATTATCGAGATTTTGAAGTGAAATTTGGGGGTTTAGGGCTTGAGAATTGGAGAGTGGATTTTGGCGATTTGGACGACCAAATGATGTCAGATTTTGATGAATTTAGTATGGTTAGACTCGTGAGTGAATGAGCTTTCGGATTTTGTGACTTTTATCGGATTTCGAGGCATGGGCCCGGGGGCCGGGTTGAGCCTATTTTGGATTTTGGCTTATAATTTCGTATTTTTCTTGTGAAATTGATTCTTTTAGCCTATATTAATTATATTGTACTACTTGTGATTAGATTTGGGGCGTTTGGAGATTGATTCGAGGGGCAAAGGAATTGCGGAGTAGGATTTTGCACGGTTTAAGGTAAGTAACAGTTTTAAATATGGTCCTGAGGGTATGAAACCCCGGATTATTGGATTATGTGAGTATTTTGGAGGTGACACACATGCTAGGTGACAGGCGTGTGGGCGTGCACCGTAGGAATTGGGACTTGGTCCATTCCGTGAAACTGTAAAGTTGAAATAACTTATTACTAGCTATATGCTCTCCCTGTGTTATAGAAATTTGACTGCAAATCATGCTTAGGCTCTGTGATGGTATTGTTGGGACCCGCGGAGGTCGCGTACTTGTTGAATTACTTGCTAATTGTTGTCTTGTACTCAGTCATGGTTTTTCTTGCGTATCATATCTCAACCTCTTCTTGATTCTTGTTAATATACTATGTTATCTTTGTTTGGGTCGATCTTTGTGATTTCCGAGAGCCCGAGAGACTAGAGAGGTTGATGACTGAGTGAGGCCAAGGGCCTGTTTGTGAGGTATTGATACTATGGCACGTAAGTTGTCCGTGCAACGCGTGAGTTGTCCGTGCGATTTCACATATTGATACTATAGCACGTGAGTTGTCCGTGCAACATGTGAGTTGTCCGTGCGGATATAGCACTTGGACTGAAAGGAGCCCATCCGGAGTCTGCACACCCCCAGTGAGCGCAGGTACCTATTGAGTGTGAGTACTGAGGGCTGAGAGCCGAGTGATTTGAGCTGTTATGACTAGTTGAGTGACTGTTGCCCTGAGAGGCTGTACTTGCCTTTTCATTTGTTGGTGCACTTAGTTGCTATCTGTCATTGTTGTGAAATTCCTGAAAGATCATATATCCTATATCTGGATTACCTGAACTTTAACTGTATAAAACTGATTGGACTTAAACTGCCGGATGTGAAAGCATGTCTATTCTTTGCTGGAATTATTGAAAATGAACTGTAATTGTATAGCTCGTCACTGCTTCTCAGTTCCTTATTTATTTCTGTTACTTGCTGAGTTGGTTATATTCATGCTACACCCTGTACTTCATGTGCAGATCCAGGTGTGTTTGATCACGGAGGTCGTTGAGTTCGTGCGCGATCGAGTACCGGAGACTACGAGGTAGCTGCCGGCGTCCGCAGACCTTGTCTCTCCTTCTATATTTTCTTTCTTTCCTGTATTGATACTTAGACACTATTTTTATTAAACTGGATATCTAGATGCTCATGACTTAGTGACACTCCGATGTTTTGGGCTATTTTTACGCATTTTATTTTGAATTCAACTCCGGTTCTTTTGTAAAAATATTTCTGGTATAAAAAAGCTTTGAATTATCCTTTTTATAAAATATTGAAGTATTTTGAAAGGTCGACTTGTCTAGTACCATCCATAGACGCCCGATTTTGTTGTCAAAGTTTCCCATTGAATTCCACTAAAGATTTTAAGATCCTACACTGATTGTTTTAATTTGATGCGATATGTATCATAATAACAGGGAACAATTCGTATTTAAGGACGGCAGCATATTAAGTTGAGCTTGCTTTAATTTTGTATGGTGTTAGTCCAACACGTGATAGTATGTTAGGGTGAGAGGGAGTGAAAAATGGAAAAAATTAGAGCCTAAAATCTTGCTATGTTAAGTAATTAAGTACAAATATCCCTAATAATAATAATAATTAGGATTCCAATTTTGCATAACTAGATAAAATTCTCTAGATATTCCCTTATGAGTCTTGGCGATTTTTGAAATAATGATGGCCAATTAACCCTGCAATCTCACTTAAATCTTTTTAGCCGAAAATTGTTTTATCAATTAGCCTATTGACGATTAGATGTACAATAATACATAATGTGTTTGTGAGGGGCAGTTGAGCTGCTTGGGAGGAAAAACTTAACCAGAACAAGGTGTATGATACCAAATTTAATATTTTACCATGATTTTGCCATAAATATTAATTAATAATAATTACACGATTATATATATCATAATGGAATTTTCAGATAGACTATTCATACTCATACATTAAACATTATAATGCAATGTACTATTTTCATATATTTAGTGAAAAGCAAGCATCTAATTTTCATAACATTTAATGTATCAAGTGAGTTTTATTTTCTTTATAAAGGTTTTCAGTGATTTTCCTTTGAAGTAACGAAAAGAATGAAGCATCCAGTTGCAGAGGCAAACGAAGTGAGCCCATTCGGGTCATTAAGCCCTGACGAGTTCTATTATCGCCACTCAGTGAGTCACGGCTCCGAGTTCATCACCAATTCTCGAGGTCTCAAACTCTTCACTCAGTGGTGGACCCCACTCCCTCCCTCTAACCCCATCGGCGTCGTCTGCGTCGTTCACGGATTCACCGGCGAGTCCAGCTGGTTCGTTCAACTCACCGCCGTTCACTTCGCCAAGCACGGTTTCTCCGTCTGCGCAATCGATCATCAGGGCCATGGCTTCTCCGATGGCCTCGTGGCTCATATACCCGACATTAACCCCGTTGTCGATGACTGCATCGCCTTCTTCGATTCTTTCCGTCGGCGCCACGCGCCGCCGTATCTCCCGTCGTTTCTCTACGCTGAATCTCTCGGCGGCGCAATTGCTCTTCTCATCACTCTCCGGCAGGGAAATTCTGCTCTTAATAAGCCTTTTGACGGCGTCGTTTTGAACGGGGCCATGTGCGGTATCAGCGCTAAGTTCAAACCGCCGTGGCCTTTGGAGCATCTTCTGGACATTGCAGCATTTCTCATTCCCACATGGCGCGTTGTTCCCACTCGCGGCTCTATTCCTGAAGTCTCATTCAAGGTAAGGGAGTTGAATTATATTCTATTTTTATTCACTTTTTTAAAACTGTTTTTTTTTTTAATTGGTGAATCACGAAGATGGAGTGGAAGAGGAAACTGGCAGTGGCAAGCCCTAGGAGGCCATTGGGGAGACCACGAGCGGCGACGGCGCGTGAACTGGTGAGAGTATGCGGGGATCTGCAGAGGAGATTCGAAGAAGTGAAGGTGCCGTTTCTGATCATACACGGCGGCGGGGACGTCGTCTGCGATCTGGCTTGCGTCGAGGACCTTTACCGGCGAGCGTCTAGTGAAGACAAAACTCTGAATGTTTACCCGGGAATGTGGCACCAGTTGGTAGGCGAACCGGAGGAGAATGTGGAACAAGTGTTCAGCGATGTTTTGGAGTGGCTGACAACCAGAGCAGAGCGTGCCGCCGAGAAGAAAGCGGCAGAGGACGGCGGCGCGTAGAAAAAGTGGTGAAGAGCTTGTGACTGGAAGGTAGTTGGAGGTTTGTAGTTGAGGAGTAGTTGGATTATTATTGGTCATATAGTACTGAATTTAAGGGTGGTCAAGGAATCAAGGATATTATTGCACGGGGTAATAGGTCCAAAAAACTGTACGAGCTGGGGACAATATACTATATTTCTTTTTTGAGTATTTGATTAAATAAAAATAATAAGATGAAATACAAGTCCTATAAGATATCAGGGGCCCTTATCCAGGGCCTAGGGTTCCATGAGGTACGTGAACTCAGGCTTCCCGTCTTAAAGTAATATTATTTTTTTTTAAATATTTAAATATATATGTGTGCACTTATACTCAAAGTATTATATAATGTGATGGTTATTGAGTGTACCTCTCTAAGTGAGATTGTGAGTTCAAATCTTATGTCAATCTTGTTATTTTTTTCTTTTTTCTAAAAGTAAACGATCACGGGAGAGGGGAGATGGGCGTGTATGGTGTTATTTTTTGCGTATTAATTAACTATTTTTTCTTTTTATTTCTTTTTTTTTTGATTTATTCTTTCAAAATTGTCGTACATTAAAATTCCTATTCTTCTTTTGCCACCGTAAAATCTTATATGATTAAATAAAATGTGTATATTAAAACTAGTAGCAATGTATGATGTAACATATAGTCAATGGGTTCAACTGATCTCAATATTTTCAACATGAAAAATAGATATAGATGTAAGAAAATTACTATTTTAAAAAAAAATTGAACTTATAATTCCAAAAGTGTAATGGGTACGCAATCGTAAGAATTAAAGGTTGAACCCATAAAATTTATATTCTGGATTCACCTCTTCTTAATAGTGCACCCGCCCTGCCAAAATCATGGATCCGCTTCTGTAATATATACTGAGTATGTAGTATCTCTCTTTATATCGAATAGTTTAATTGATAGAGTGGAAAAAACATGTTTACCTTCAAATAAAATCAAATGTAGCTAATTGAACGTGATTTCTCCTTTTAAAATAATCTCGGATATAATTAACTTTTACAATTAGAAAAACTTTTTCAGCTTTGACTAATGAATGAATACAGGACACATGTCTTTTATAAAATGAATGAGTATCAGACACGTGTCTTTTATATATACATTTATCACATAATTATAGTTAAGTGGTATAGTTAAGTGGTATATACTCTATTTAACTTTTAATTGGTATAGCTAAATTACTTAATTTGGTGTAAACAGTGTTTATCCGAATAACTTATGTGATTGAGTTTAATCAAAATAATGCTTCTAGCGCATCCATGGGAATTACTTGGGCGTTTTGACAGTTTAGAACAAGTCACATGAAACCATGCAACTTTCTTGCAGATCTTTAGGATTATGTCTTTAAGAGATTATGGAAATTTCAATGTTTTTTAACACTTCTTTTCTCTGTTTATTCACATTCAAGGAAAAAGAAGAAGTATTTAATTTCTCCATTTACTTTGGAAATTAAGAAATGGACAACCTGTTTGGTGAAATAGATTGTAGATCAAAGTCAGATGGAATAGTGATGGGAATTCTAAGATCTGCCATGGACAAAGCACATGAAAAGGTCCAATCTGAAGCTGGATCCATTGAGTTTCTTCACGAGAGATCAAAGTTCTATGAATTAGCAGTGATCCTTGTAGAATCAGGTCTAAGCATTGTTCAAGAAGAAACTGATATTCTTGAAAGCAACCGCGAAAAGGTCATCTCAGACTTAACAGAAATGAGGCATTGGCTCTTGGGAAGGATTAAGGTAATGAAACTCTTAATCACTGAGAAAGATAGAGAATTAACAGAGAGGACTGAAAATGAGTTAAAGCTCAGACAGATTTTGGAATCCAAAGAAAGAGAACTTGTTTTTATTCGCGAGAAACTTGAGCTTCAGAGAACAAAGAGTGAAGGGTCCCAAGATTTGCGATTAGTGCTAAAGAATGGAGCTAAAGAAGGTGAAACTAGTGACTCGAAATCTGATTCAGAGCTTCTAAATGAGGGAAGTTGTCAAAATGACTTGTATGGACGTTACCATATTCCTGAAATAAAGCCAATGACTGATCATTCATTAAGGCCTGAAAAGAACAATGTGATTCAACAGATGAGTTCTGATATAGACATTTTAAAAGAAACCTTGGATTTTGCATTTGGGAGAAGGGATAATGGTGAGATGGTTCCTTTAGAGAAGCAATGGAGGTGTACCATTGAGAAAGATACATTATCTGTCTTGATAAAAGGATTCATAAATGATATCCAACAAAGATTTGAATCAGAGTTGAGGAAGAGGGGTGATCAAATTCCACTTGAATTTTCAAATGAGAACTTATCAGAATCTATCTGTGAGATAACAGCGTTGCGCCATGAACTAGAGACCTTCTATCGTAGACATGAGGAGGAAAGGAAAACAATGAACAAGAAAGATATCTTAGGCCAAAAGTTGCCCAAGGTTCGTCGAACGTGTAGTGAGCCTTTGCCAAAAGTTGCTCATCAACTGCCTGATCAGGAGGACCAAGAGGCTGGTGGAAGTAATTACGTTGCTAAGATTAAGAATCATGAGTCAATTAAAAAGAAGCAGTTCGAAGATCGAAATTGTAAATCCATCTTACACAAGAAAGACATGGAACTTGATATCTTGGACAGAATGATAAAAGATGTCATCACAAGATTGGATGCTATAATAAGCTCCCTGAACGTTAAGTCAGTCGCTAAAAAACATGTGAAAGAGGAAGAAAACTTTCGTAAGGAAAATTTATCCAATTCTTTCATTGGAGATAAAGTGGAAAGTAGTGATTGTGCTTGTGAAATTTTGAGAGATGAGGTGAAATTACTAAATGAAGAGGTGGATAATTTAAATTTGCAGATATCAATCTTGGAAGAGATTCATTTGATCCTTTATGAAGGTTTGTTGAAAGACCAGAATGTTGCTTATTTTGAGTCAATTAAAAACACTAAAAGTACTATTACTTTCTTGCTAAACCAATTTGATGCAAAAGATGAAAATGCAGAAACATTTATTAAGGGCTTAAAAGATGGCAACATCTTACCAGAGACTATAGGGAGCACATTGAAAGAGGATGTCTACATGGTATTCTTCTTTGAAATGGTTAAGGAATGGAAGGAGGAAAAAGATGATTTTTATATGGAAATTCAAATAAGAGAAGATATATACAAGTTTATCATGGTTGAGGCTGTGAAAGATGTACATACCAAAATTTCAGAATATTTGAATCCTGCTTATAAGAAGGTGGAAATTGATGGAACTGAGGAAAGCCTGATTCAAAAGCTTGATTCTTTGTTAAAATGTCTCGAGTCAGAGGAAGATCTAATGGCGAAAGCAAGTTCTGAGATAGAAGAACACAATGTGCGTCATGAACAAGAAATCTTGGAATGTGAAGAGGTTGAGGAGCGCGAGACTATTGAATGGCTGTTGAATGATGATGAGTGCACTTTCACTTGTGTGAACGAAAAACTAGAGATCGCGATGAGACAATTGTCTACAAGCAAAGAATTGTTGTTTGATTTGGAACAAAGTCTTGGAATTTCACCTGATTTGTTAGCAAAAAGTACTGATGATTGCCTACACACAAACAGAAGTGTTGTGTCTCAAACTGAAGAACCAAAAGAGCTCAATATTGGTGAAGTAGAGGATGATAAAATGTCAGTTATTAATCCATCTGATGTTTTGGTCTTAGCACAGCTAGCAGATTTTGATCAAGTGATTCAAAAATTTGAGGTCAATGTAGTTCACAATCTAGACGCTAAATCGTCGAGGTATTCAGTTTTTATCATTTTTTTTTCTTAAGCCTCAGTTCATTTGGTATTTCAGATAAAGAACAACCTCATATATAATAGGGACTAATGGGAATGTTACATTACATATTTTCCAGGGTAGAGGAACTGAAACACCAATTCCACAACTTAATTGTTAAACCAGTTGCTTTAATAAAGAAAAGGAAACTGCTTTACAAGAAGGCTTTCTTAGCAAGATGTCAGAATCTAAAATTGGCTGAAACTGAGGTACATTATATTGAATTTCATTGAAAAATTAATTAGCATGCTTAAGCATCTTGCTATATTTTTTAGCCTTTTTCTTTTTCCTGTTACTATAAGATTCGTGCATTTAAGAGTTTCGAGTTAGGTTTCTTTATTGTTTCCCCTTTCATCCACACGAAAACGAAAAAAAAAATATTTTTTGGAAAAGATGGTGAAGGATCGGAGTGAAAATTGAAACTTATACAACTCAATTTTATCTGTGTACAATATTTGAGATTCTGATTAGATTTTTTTCTCTCCTTCGCATTATTTATTTATTTATTACTATGTAATATTTGTTGAAGGACAATTTTATTTATTGCTAAAATAAGAAACATGGAGTAAGATATTTAGCATTTAATATTAGATTATTTATTGATAAGATTGGTGTTTTTAAAGGTGGATTTGCTGGGGGATCAGGTAGAAGCACTTTTGCATCTGCTTGAGAAAATATACGTGATACTGGACCAAAATTCAACTGTTTTATCTTGCCATTTTCAGGTCAGCAATTACCAAACATAACATGGTTATATTATTTTTAGTACGAATTTGTGATTTATGAGTTAAGGCTCTTTTTCTTCTTCTTCCTTCAAAATTTATTAGATGTATTTCATATTTATATTCCTTGTTTTGAATTTTATCTATTTCCTTACTTTTTATTTTTTTTCAATTATGCAGGTGTTTGACATCTTAAAACTCATCAAAGACAAGTTGGGAGATGCAGTTGCTTGTGTATCTACTTCTTAGTATATAAAATCCAATATTTAATTTTTGTATAACATGCTCATTTGCTTATATGAACGTAGAATCTTCTTTCTTTTGTGAACTACCAGCAGTCCAGCACATAAGAATTATGCAAGTCATCATTAGAAGCGGGTTTACGACCATTTAATAACCACATTGTATCATATTGTGTTTATATTTACATATCATATGTGTTAGGCTTGGAGCTTGTTTGGCCAAGTTTTGGGAGGTCAAAAGTACCTTTTTTTCTAAAAAGTACTTAAAAAATTTTTGTTTGGTCAAGACAGAGAAGTACTTTTGGCCTGCAGTAGAAGTTCTTTCAAGAAGCAACAACAACACAATATAATCCCACTAGTGGAGTCTGGGGAGTTTCCGATAGACCCTCGACTCCCTCCCTCCAAAAACTCTCAGCCTTGCTCTTGGGGTGACTCGAACTCACAACCTCTTGGTTGGAAGTGGAGGGTGTTCACCACTAGAGCAGAACTCACAACTTCTTCCGAGAAGTAGAAGTAGAAAATTAATTTATTCAAGACAAAACTATCCTCACCATAAATTCATATTTTCCAAATTATCCCTTATTAATTTAAGCTTTTACTTTTCTTTTTTTGTTTCTAGTTTCTACCATTCTTTTAAAATTAGAGATATCATATATTTGAATATATTGTAACTTCCCATATTCTTTTTTGACTTTTCTTGTTTTTTGATTTTTTCTTTGTGTAATGTCTTGTAACTTTCCAAATTATCTTCTTCTATTTTTATATTAAAGTAAATTATCTATATCCTTTTTGGATTATCAGTTCTCTTCCTACAAATAATCATTTATAATTTCTTATGTTATAGTGCTATTAATTCCCGAATCTTTAAAACAATTATCAAATCTAATTTGTGAAATTGCATACAAATTGGTAATAGATTTACAATTGCATCGCATAATCTATATATTTTTAACATAAGAAGAAAAAGTCTCCACATTAAACTAAGTGACAGTCTCACAATAGGTCACCTGGCAATTTAGGACAAAGTTAGTTAGGTTAGGTAATAATTAATTTTTTTTTAAATTTAATTTTTTTTTTAAAAAAAATATGCATTATGTGTTGTTAATAATTAGTTACTCTTTTTGAATTTGAATTTAAACATAATTAACTATTTTTTTACGAAAACAATAAATTTTCATATATTTAAATTTATTTATATTTTACGTTCAATGCCATCTTTCAAGTTTGACACTCAGAATCATCTTGTTACAATTAAAATAGCTATACATAATTTCATCCGACGATATTCTTCTACCAATAAGGAATTCAACTGTTATGCTAATGAAGATATTACTGCAGAGATTGAGGAAGGAGATGGGTCATCTGGTATTCCTTTAGAAATGCAAGGCAAGTCTTCTACTAATATGGAGGCGTTGTGTGATACAACGAGATGAAATTGTTGAGAAATATTATCATGTGTGAGTGACTTTGCTTATTATTTCATGGTGGATTGTCAATATATAGTAATTTATGGAATGGACTTCTAATTTATACTGAATGATGAAAATAAGTAATTATACTAGATAATATTATATGCTTTGGTATAACTATATATGTTATATTGATTTAAATCTTTAATATGTATGTTTAATTTATATTTTATATTTTATATTTTAATTAAATAAATTAAAAAATAATAAAAGTCTCTTACGATAAATATTTAAGTTTATTTTTCTCTTTTAAATAATTATAAGACCTTGGTACTATCCTTTTGGTAATTTGACACTCAAAAACGCTTTTTAGAAAGATTGGCCAAACACAATTTGTTTACCAAATATTGTAAAAAGCACTTCTTAAATGAATTGGCCAAACACAAACTATTTTTTTTCAAAAGTATTTTTGACAAAAACACTTCTGAAAAAAGTACTTTTCAAAAATAAGCAGTTTTTGGTAGCTTGGCCAAACGGGCTCTTAATCTCTTTGAGTGCATAAATATTAAAATACTCACCATACATACTCATTCGTTCATCATCTAGAAATTTACATATTTCGTATTTGAACATTAAGTAAAAACTTTTCTAAGTCAAAATATTTATGATAAAAACTTTTCAAATTTTATGAAAAATTTTGTAGTTATATTTCATTTAAATAAACTGGTGTTATATGAAATGAAACTGTAATAACTCGAATTTGTTTTCTATATACTTATTAAATTGTGAGACTAGAAATTTAATTTATTTTGTAGCTATTGAAAAAGTACTAAGCTAGTAGAAAATAATTTATTATAATTTATAAGATAATGCACTAAATAAATACTTAGACCTCATTTGTTTTTTTTTAAGATTAAGACGTCTGAATCTGAATACACATCTGAATATCAAGATGTGTATTAAGATTAAGACATTTGAATCTGAATACACATCAGAATATTAAGATATGTATTAAGATCTGAATACTAAATAATTAAGACTATTTGATTTTTAACATCTAAATATATATAATTTATCTTTANTGGAAAGCCGCCCATGACATTCTCCCCCACCTGAGTTGGCGACGTCCTCGGCGCCTTCCTTGCAAGGTAATCATCAATCAGGCTCTTGTAGGCTTTGAGGTTTGTTCCCCTCTCCCAAGTATTCTCCTCTGCATCACATCCCTGCCATTTCACCAAGAACTCCTGGTGATCTTTTCTTGAGGCGTGAATCACTCGATCATCAAGAATAGCTTCAGCACGCCTTTTTCCGGTTGAATTGGGGCCTCGAATACTTGGTATTGTGAGTTGGCTTCGTGGTGGGTGGTGATAGTTTATAATGGCGGGTGGTGGTGGCAGTTGTGATTGAGGAAGGTGGTGAATGTAGTTTATAATGATGGGCAGTGCCGACTATGGTTGTTGATGATGACGGGGCGGTTAGTTGTGATAGTTGAGGTGAATGAGTGTTGGATGTTGTTGTGAATGATGGTGGTGGGAGTGGTGGTGGTGGGTGTCATGGTGGTAGTTGATAATGATAGGCGGTGGCAGTAAGTCTCTGTTATAGATCTTAATCATACAGACTTATTTAGACTCATTAAGTGGTTGTGAAGTAAGAAAAACAAACACACTTAATGATTAAGATCTGAATAATTAAGATTCAGACTATAAAAATAAACGTACTTAATGTCCGAGATCTGAATGATTAAGATTCAGACCTCCATTAAGTGCAAATAAATGAGTCCTTAGTGTGCCTAATTTATCATTACATGTGTTAATTGGGTAATAAAATTTCCTAAAATAAATGAGACAATTAGTATTATTGAAGAAGTGGACAAGGCCCATATTTATTTTCCTGATGGCCCACGTAATGGAGATTTAGGTTGAAGAAAAACAATAATGAGGTTTTGGGTCATTAGCTAATACGCAGTCGGATTGCAATTGTAAAGAAAAGGCAATAAACGGGTCTTTGGTGGAGTTGACGTCATCGGGAATCGAGAGCTAGAAGTTGGCAGTTCCAACTCATAATTTAGTACTCAGGTACATTATATATTTCATCTCAATAAATCTATTCCTTGAACTTGGTGAGAAAAATAATTATTTATTATTTTTTATGGTAGTATTAAGAATTGAATTATGGAATAACTGAGCATGGCAGACATACTCATGAGGCCTTAGGAATGAACATTTTAATATGGACAAAACCAGTTAAGATTGTAACTTTTTTTATTTTAATATTAGAACATTACATATACAGAAAATTAGTGATGGACCTTTACACACATGTAGAATGACACGGTTATGATTTATATGTTTTTTTGGTAATAATTACATAATGATTGAAAACATAATGAATAGTAATGAGTTTAAAAATCAG